ACTGTAATAAAACATATAAATATGTAAATATTTAAAAAATATCACAATTCTTCAGTGTAACTTACTAGTCGTTGAGATTATTTATAAAAGCATTGACACTATACATTTATAACACACATTAAAATATAAAATCATGGACAAAATACATTCTAAAGTTTTTAAAATTTAGGGTAAAGATGGTAAAAAAAAGTTTGTTTATGGCATGTTTTACTGGTGTGTTTAAAATAATGTGGATAAAGAATGGAAAGTAAAAACACTGTAATTAGCATGTAATTAGGTGTACTTGATGTTATCTTTCTTTTCAAGAAATACTAGAGGCCCGTCTTGGGTGATTATCCTTTTTAAACCTGTCGAATGATGACCCGGCCTAGTATTATCAGAGGGATTCTCCTGAACTCTCGAATAGCTGTATTTTTGTATATAATAACGTAGCTTTTATTGTGGCCAGCAGCCAAAAAGAAGATCGCGGATATCGGGTTAAAATTGTATCGCAAGCAAATAAATTATTTGTAATTATTAAGTGTAAAATAAATACTTTGATAAATTCGTAAGTGTCATAAATATTGGACCTTTAGTAAATTAAAATAATAAAAACAATAAATTAGAACTAATAAATACTCAACAATATATATATATATATATATATATATATATATATATATATATATATATATATATATATATATAATAAGGATCACTCAGACGAGTGGTGGGTTCAAATATCGGTCTACTAGGTGGAGAAATAAAAGACAAAGTTGATACTACTTTATCTACTTTGAAGACGTTTCGCTATCGAATTCTGATAGCATCATTAGTTCATCTAAAAATTTTACATTATGAGAACCACACATTCATGAAGAAGATGTTACATAGTTACCTTTAAAAAGACATGTAGTTGTCAATGGTATTAAAAAATTGGTACAAAAACTCAGATAAATGGACATCATATGGTGATATTGTATAAACAATCAAATAACTAACAACATTTAGAGACTTAATAAAAATTAGCAAAACAACAGAACACGTGGTCTAATCTACATATAATATTTTATATAATATTAACTAGTGAAAAAGAACTAAGAAAATCATCAATTCACTTCCAACTATGAAAGAATTATTTTATGACTTCATCTTAACTTTTGGTAGCATTATTTAAGTTATCTACATTGAGATATAATATATATATATATATATATATATATATATATATATATATATAAATTATAGATAGATATTTGAACCCACCACTCGTCTGAGTGATCCTTATTATATATATATATATATATATATATATATATATATATATATATATATATATATATATATATATATTGTTGAGTATTTATTAGTTCTAATTTATATATAAATAAAGAGTTACTCACTTTATTGACTATTAAAACTAGTTAATATTATATAAAATATTATATGTAGATTAGACCACGTGTTCTGTTGCTTTGCTAATTTTTATTAAGTCTCTAAATGTTGTTAGTTATTTGATTGTTTATACAATATCACCATATGATGTCTATTTATCTGAGTTTTTGTACTAACTTTTTAATACCATTGACAACTACATGTCTTTTTAAAGGTAAATATGTAACATCTTCTTCATGAATGTGTGGTTCTCATAATGTAAAATTTTTAGATGAACTGATGATGGTATCAGAATTCGATAGCGAAACGTCTTCAAAATAGATGAAGTAGTATCAACTTTGTCTTTTATTTCTCCACCTAGTTGACCGATATTTGAACCCACCACTCATCTGAGTGATCCTTATTATATATTGGATAGACGGTCGTACTCCTTGTTGCGATGATATATATATATATATATATATATATATATATATATATATACATATATATATATATATATATATATATATATATATATATAATATATTATATGTGTGTGTTTCTTTATTGAAAGTTATAACACGACTCTGATCTTAAAAACCAACTCACTTATACTTTATCTAGCTTTATATATTAGCGTTGATTGAATATCCAAATATTCGATATTCGGAATATTCAAATATTCAATCAACGGTATTAGCTAACATTCTTGGATCACATAAATAAATTAACATCAGCAGTACGTAAAACAACACCCATTAACAGAATGTAGTCATCTTTGGTTACCAATACTAAAAGAAGATGTCAACAACAATATACCAACAACAGCTGAGTAATTGGTGACAAAAACACCATCTACAATCTAATACAACACGTATGTGGAATAGTCAATAGAATGAACAACATGTCAACTTTGAAATGACATAACCAATAACAACATCTTTGATTATACACATTTCTATATAATTGTACAAAAAACCTTTTTTGATAACGATTACCGGGGTGGAAATCGAAAATCGCCAAATACTCGTTAATTAAAAATGTGATTTCTATCACAACCACAACCAATAATTGTGGCTTAATCCCATAAAAACATACTATTTAACTTAACCATGCCACAAGAATATATATGTATATATTAAAAATGTTTCACATTTTCCGTGAAAATTTTGTCTTTAATATGTTGGTTAATATTAAAATAGTCTTAAGTAAATAGTTGCAATTTATATCATCCAAAGCAAAAGGCTTGACCTACAAACTCCGGAATGAAAGCAAAAATTACTTTAACAGATGTTCTCAAGTAGAAATTATAATCACTTTGTATTGCCTGTAAACACAAACGTAAATCCAAACAAAAAGTATTAGTTGATACTGAAAGTAATGGCATTGCTAGTAAATTAAAGTAACCGTGTTAGTTCCTCTTTTAGTCCAGGTAGTATGGGCGCACTGGCTAGGAAAAATAAAGATAAAAAATTATTGAAAAATTTTTTTTAACAAATTGCAAAATTTAATTTTTTTGTCCGGTGCAAGTTTATTTAAGTATATTAAATGGCTTATTCTGGGCAATAAAAGGTCTCAAGTAACTTTTCTCAATGAACAGTTATTAAACAGATAAAGCATTAAACCACTTCTGTGACTAGATTATTTAAAAAATTTACTAATATCTATATCAAAGTTGTTAAATGTACTAGAATGTACTAGAAAACAGAAAATTGTTTTTAAAAGTAAAAAACAAGACCCCAAAACTTTATAAAAGCAATGTTATGTACAAGTGAATACGAATTAATCAATTACATCACTTTGTTTATAGATCTTCTAAACTGACTTGCAATATATAATCAAAATATAATTAGGCATTTTGAAACTATTTGATTTAAACTTTTATCTCATACTTTTTGTTTTTTTTTTTTTAATTCAATATCCAATCTACTGAAAAATGGTCTTGAAAAAAGCTAAACTTGGTTGTTTCGGCATTTTAAATTGTTTATTTGGTTTTTATGCTTAAATTAATCATTTTACCAAGAAATTACTAAAATAACTTTTGTCTTAGACTGACCCAAATTAACAAAAAAGCAGTTTTGAAGCACATAATTTTTTTTTTATTATAGATAAATAGGTTCCCGCGGAAAATTTTTGGTAAACTTTTAATCATTGTATTTGGCATCATAATCAATCGATTAAAACACAAGTTTCAGCTTGTGGGTACGAAATAAACTTTTTTCGACAAAAATGCTTATGGTCTAGAACAGTGGTTCCCAACCCGTGGTCCGCGGACCACTTGTGGTCCGCGCCGAGTTTACGTGTGGTCCGCGGGCTGTTTCAGAGTACGTCTTATAATTCACGGTTTTCTTCATCAATACGAGTATAACAATGTTTTTACTGGCTATATAATGAGACATTCATCCTCGGAGATACGTTTGTTATGAAAGTATGCCACATGAGTAATGCTGTTTTTATTTCTGATGTTAGGCGTGGAGTGACAGTGGCACAGCGCGAGCGCAGAGAGGGTAGGCTATTAATAGTCACAGCGGGGCGGGCGGACACATGCTTCCACCACTCTCAAGCTCGATCATTCCCCTCCATCGCTGTGTAGCCGCACTCCCGCCCATCATTGTCTACCTTCTCCTGAGTTCCATGGCCATTTGTCTGTCGTAGTGTCTAGTGTCACGTACCGTATGTACAGAGTGAGAGACTGCAATGAGTAAGCAAGTGAATTTGTTAACGTTTTTAAAAAGAGCACATGATGAAAGTGAACCCGGACCTAGTGCTAGTACGAGTGTTAGTGACAGGTTTGTTTCAAGTGAAGCTAAAAGTAGAAAACCAGCCAATCATAAGTACAGCCCAGAATACTTAAAATATGGATTTACTTTTAAAGAAGATGGAGATGTTCATTTGTCTCAGTGTGTTGTATGTTCAGAGGTTTTATGCAATGAAGCTATGAAACCGGCCAAACGCATGCGTCATTTTGAGACAAAACACAAAGAACTTGTTCAAAAACCATTGGATTTTTCAAGCGCAAGGAAACTCATCTTAAAAATGCAAAACAAGTAATGAAACAGTATTCTTCTCAGGATAAGGCTGCTTTAAAAGCATCTTTTTTAATTTCATTGAAAATAGCAAAAGCAAAAAAACCATTTACAATAGGAGAAGATTTAATTTTACCCCGTATTTTTGAAGCCACTAAAGAAGTACTTGGTGAAGAGTCAGCTAAAAAAATGAAAAACATAGCTCTATCAAATAATACAGTTACTAGAAGAGTTGAATCGATGGCAGCAGATGTTGAAAACCAACTCATAATAAAGCTTCACCAATCTAAGTGGTTTTCTTTGCAATTAGATGAGTCTACCGATGTTACAAATAAAGCAATTTTACTGGTGTATGTAAAATACATCGATCATGAAGAAAAGAAATTAAATGAAGAATACATGACATCTATTGAACTGCCAGGTCATACAAAAGATCGGGACATTTTTAATGCTGTTGATGGGTATTTAAAGTTGCATAAACTATCTTGGAAAGACTGTGTTGGATTGTGTACTGACGGCGCGGCTGCTATGACAGGCTAAAAACAAGGCCTTAAAAGTTTTGTACTGAAAGAAGCGGGAACCGAAGTACAAATAACAAACTGAATTATTCACAGAGAAATGCTAGAAACCAAACAGTTGAGTCCTAAACTTAATGAAGTCCTCCTTACAGTTGTAAAGGCTGTGAATTTAATCCGGAGCAAAGCTCTTAATTCAAGATTGTTTGCTACGCTTTGTGATAATATGGGCTCGCTTCATTCCAAACTTCTCCTCGTTACTGAAGTACGATGGTTATCCCGAGGGCGTGTATTGGCCAGATTTTATGAACTTAGAGAGGAGGTTTGTATGTTCCTTGAAAAAAACAATCCAGAACTAGCGGCTGTGTCTCGGGATGGACAATGGGTGGCTAAACTTGCTTTTTTGACTGATATATTTGAAATTATAAATGTCCTGAATCTTGGTCTTCAAGGGCCCTCACACACAGTATTCGATCTGTGGAAAAAAATTGCTGCATTCAAACAAAAGTTAAAGTTATGGAAAACTGAAGTAGAGAAAGGATCTTTTGCTATATTTAATCTGTTTTCTGAATTTATAATAGAAACGGAAGGTATGAATATAAATAGACAGCTGTCATCTTTGGTAAAGGCTTACATAGCATCGTTTCAAGGGTATTTTGACAAATATTTCCCTGCCAGTTCTGACGTCAGTTCTAAAAACTTGTGGGTGGCAAATCCTTTTTTACCACTCAAGGATATTGATCTTACACTTAATGAACAGGAAGAACTTATTGAGATATCTTCTGATCCTCAGCTTGAAGTTGTCAAAATACAATGTGACAATATTGCAAGTTTTTGGATCAAGTTACTTGATGAGTACCAAACCCTCAGCCAAAAAACCTTGAAAATTCTACTTCCTTTCAATTCTACATATCTTTGTGAAACAGCATTTTCAACACTAAATGTTATTAAGAATAAGCATCGTAACAGTTTATTGAAATTGGATGCTCCATTCAGGTTGAGTTTGACCTCTTTGAAGCCAAATATCGAAGATCTTGCCAGTAAAATGCAAAACCAAGGAAGTCACTGAGAGACTTAGTGTCATATTTTGTAAGCGTTTTACAATAGATTTATGTTTCTATAACTATATTAAGACTATAACTATGTTTTTTTTTCTAATTACTTACTCTTAATCCAATGTAAGTATATTAAAGTATTTAAAATATATTTCTCTAGTTCTCAATTTAATTTACCTAGTTATAAAATCATGTGGTCCGCAGACGTTTTCTTATAGATCTTGTGGTCCTCGAGAGAAAAAGGTTGGGAACCACTGGTCTAGAAAACAAAAAATTAAATTTGGCATCCAAAATCATACGTCGGTCGTAAATGGTCAATAGTAGCTGAAATCACGTGTCATAATTTCTCGGAAATTTTGAATTCGATCATTGACGACACGTAAGAAAATTTGTTTCCTTGCTGGCCACTTTACATTGTAACAATAGAATAACATATTTCTGCTTATAATAATAAAAATGATATTTTAGATCGGTTCATTCATATGAATATTGTGTCGACTGAGAGAATGATCGAGATTCGACTATATACCTAAAGATGTAAAATAATGAAATTAGTATATTTTTTTTATTTCAAAAGGATATTTTATTATTTAGTCTATCAATAGAAAGAGTACTAGTAACCGCAGAGGCTTGTTTGGTCTGTATATACAAAATTAGAAGTTATACATCAAGTCATGCATTACATGAATCATATTGTGACAAATAAAATCGTCCACGCCTAACGTGCATGGTAGGGAACAGGAACGATAACACAGCCCAACAAAATGAAAAAAATTGGTGATTGAGAAATAACGAAATTTAAATATTTTTCATGATTTGATTTCAAACATATCTACTTTTTTCATAATAGTTTTTTTTAATCTTAGAGTAAATATGATAGATGATCATGAAATAAGCAGCTGAAGAATTATTAGGCACAGAAAGTCACAACTAAGAACAAGAACGAATGACTGATTAGTCAGATTATAACAAAAAGAGAAAAAAAAAAGAGTCTATTTACATATATGAACACATTACAATATGAACAAAGAACTTCAAAAACTACAAGAACTAGTAAGCCAATGAAGAAAAGAAAATTTTACCAGAAACTGAACAAAAGCAGAAAAGAATTCAAACAAAAGATGTGAACAGATATGGAGGGTAATATATTGACAAAACAGCAAGAAAACCTAATAAAATGGAATTCCTGAATGCGAATGAAAATGTTTTAGATTGTATTGATATATTAGATGTTCGTTTGTAATACTCTTCTTAATGTTTTCTATTGCTTTTTTGAATTATGTGTTCTTATTGTATGCCATAAGTTAAATAAAAAATAAATTCTCCCTTACTGACACGCTTAGTGGAAAAGTCATAGAGACCGATAAACGATAAGTTAAACTTAAATGATCACATGTATGATCCATTTTATTTTTTATTTGCTGGAGTATATTGTATGCTCATGCATGTATATATGTATATAAGGTCATGGAACTCGGTTTGGCGCGAAATTAACAATTAAAAACAATGGGTTGCATTAAAGTTATAGATAAAAACTTAGACAATACTAGACAAAAAAATTAAATTTTACAATTTGTTTAAAAAAAATTTTTAAATAATGTTTGACCATAATTTTCTTTTGGCTACATGCACTTTTGTTATAAGGGACTATTTGAAGTAAGATTGTATAAACATATGAAATGAGAATATTTTTCTAGCCAGTGCACCCATACTAACCGGACTGTTTAGATTGAAGAAGTAATGATAGTGATTTTTAACCTGAAAATATCACATCGAAATTAATAGTTAATATAAAAGTAAAGATACATTTGTTATATTTTTGAAATAAAAAATCAATTCTTGGCTCATTATTATCAACTGCTTTTTCTCTAAACTCCTTTTACCCGCTGCGTTGGTGTCTATTCTCTTTTTCCATTATTTTTTGTTTCTCGATATCATTTTCATTTCTGTATAGTTCATCCCCATTGGCTTTGACTGCTTTTATAAGTTCATTTATCCACCTTTTTCTTGTCCCTCCTCTCTAAGGAGCCTCGGTCTAGTTGTTTTCTTATTTGATCGTTTCTGATTATGTATTTCCTGATGTTGCGTGGTATTTTTCTCAATACTAGCATTTCGATAGTATTTAATTTACCTTCATGTTCCTTTTGTAATACTCAGGTTTCACTTACTCTTGTAACTATTGCTACGTTAATCGTATTATATACTAGTAATTTAGTTTTGTTATTTATTTCCTTTTTTCCGTATAGTATTTTATTTACCATATAGTAGATTTTGTTGGTCTTCTTTTGTTTATTAGCAAACTTGTTTTTATTGTCCTGTATAAGAACTATATCGTCAGTGTAGAGTAGTGTTTCAATTTGTGTAGGGGTAATGCGATTGTATCAAACTATTGGTTGAAGGGTCCTCGTTCTAGATATCGTATTTTTTATTTTCATCTTCTTGTTTTTGTGTAGACCTGACTGTCTATTTTTCAATTTGCCTCCAGTAAGTTGTCGTTCCATCGTTTTCGTGGTCTCCCCACTGATTATTCGGGAATCATCCCTCGCCGTCTTTACTGCTCCATATCTTGTCATTCGGCTTATATGATCGTTCCATTCTACTGTTCTATTTCTTACCCAGTTCTGGATGTTCTCTACCTTGCATCTCCGTCGTATATCTGTACTTTTAGCTCTGTCCCATAGTGTCTTACCATCGATATTTCTAAGGGTTTTATATCTGGTGTGTCCACTTTTATTAAGTCGTGTTTCTGCAGCGTATGTCATTATTAATCTGATACTGTTTTGTAAATTTTGCCTTTCTTTTTTTCCGATATTGTTATTTCTTCACATTGTTTCATTCACGCAACCTGCGACTCTATTTATTTTATTCACTTGATCTACTTCTGTTTTGAGCTTTCCGTAGCTAGATAATGTGATGTCTAGAAATTTAAACTCCAGGACTTGTTATATTATCTGACCATCCAGCTCTAATTTACATCTTAGTAAACCTGCTGTTATAACCATGCATTTTTTGGGGAAATTAACATGTTAAATTTGCTGGCGGTTATATTAAATTGGTGCAGCATACCTTGTAAATCATGTTCACTTTGAGAGATTAATATTGCGTCGTCGTCGTCAAAGCAGATTAATTTAAGTTGTTTTTCTCTCATTTGGTATTCTTTTTTAGTTCTTATTATTTTTATTGTTTCGTCCATGATCAGGTTTCACAATATAGGACTCAGGAATTAAATTCTTCAACCATGACACTCTCCTCCTTCCTTCTCTTATCTTTCCCTTTATTATTAATCTTCGCATTTCATATTGCTGTTCCTAATATTCTAAGCTATTAATTTATTTATATTATTCTATTTTTCATTCTATGTTAGTTCTAAGCATATTCTAAGCATCGTTCTGAAACCCCACATTTCAAATGATTGTAGCTTATTTATTTATTCTTGCTTCACTGTCCAGCTTTCAAGTAAATATTGTAGTATCGAAAACACGAAACATCTTAGATTTCTTACTCTCAGTTGTAACCTAAGGTCTTTATTGCAGATATTTGTTTTCATTCAAAGTTTTTTCTTTAAAACTTATTGAGGTCGCTGGTTTATAATTGATAACGAAAAAATGCAATATTTGATTGTGAAAACATTAGCAATTAATTGAAAATTTGCAAACATATCTGGAGTAACTTATTAAGGTTGTCGGTACAAAGAAAAGTACTTAATTGTGGTTAAGGCATAAGCTAGAAAAGTACCATATACGCGTCGCGAAATGGACTTAGATACCAAATTCAGGACAATTATTCCATATTGCAGAAGATCGAGAAGCCTTCGCAATGGTGATCGCCAACGTCGGATAATTCTGATATGGCACGCGAAGAAGAAGAAAGGAAATACACAGCCAGTGAAACAAGATACTTTTTGTTAAACTTTTTCTAGGTAAAATAAACATTTTTCGTTAATATACAAAGATTTTCTTTCACGGCAAACTAAAAAATTATAAATAAATAAAATTATAAGTTTTTTATGGATTAGCTAATTTTGCATATTTCAGTTTTCTTTTGAATAAAGTTAACCTCGATAACTAATTAATAGTTCAAAAAAGTTTGATATTTCATTTCGACATATAAGTAAGTTTTATCCTTTTCTGTGATTTGGTACATAACCAAAATTTTAAATTCTGTTTTGTTTAAAGGTTAAACTTAATGTTAGTAAAGTTCGTGTAACCTTCTGGCTAAGGTCTAATGTAAGTCTAATGTAAGTCTAATGTTTGTCTAATGTAAGTAATGTTGATCAAAATTAGAATATTTTGATTTATAATAATTGTTTAAATTGCTACAAATAGCACCAAAGTAAGGTTTGTTGATAAATTTGGATAATATTATTTGTAATATCTGTTAAAGTGAAATAATAATAAATATGTGATGTTTCTCTTTTAACCAGGAGTTTAAAATTATTTACTTTAAAAAGATTTTCAACCTTAAATTTTTTTTTGAAAAGAAAAGTCTTTCTTTCTATCCAGCAAGAGGATTTTTTTTAAACGGCGTCCAATTTAAATAATTTAGGAATCTTCTTGTGCTTGTTGCCCAGGAAATCTCTGAAAGTATCTTTTTATTTCTCTTTTGGTGTAGTTAGTTTCCCAGTTCCTCCAATAAAGAAACCTTATTCACGACCAAGCTCACCAACCAAAACAAGAGTAGCCGTTCGCAAACGTTTCAGTTTATTTGCTCACCCTATCTGCAGCCCAGTAATTGTTCAGTTCCCCCTTTCAACCCCCTATACGCAATTTATACTGTTACAAGTGACACCCACTCTGGTAGGAAAATTCTTCTTCTTTTCATGGCGCCGTCTCCTTTCGAAGGTTGGCGATCCAAATGGCAATTATGGTTTTGGAAACTGCTGCGCGAAATATTTCTGCGGATGAGCGGTCGAACCATCTCCTCAGCCAAGAGTTCTGGCGTCTTCCTACTGATCTTTTGCTCTGTGCTTTTCCTTCCAGTATAACTTTTAGGCAAATTAAAGTATTACAAATGT